TCTGTTGGGGCACAGTCTCCAATTGGGCTCAGCTGCCAGGTGCAGGGTCCGAGAAGCCTAGTGGCTGGGCTCATCTAAGTCTGTGGAATTTTTCCATATAGGTGGACGAAGGACTGAGCAACAAGGGCATGGAAGGTATTTGTAAGAGAGTAACTGAAACAAAGGACTGGAAATCTAAGCACTGGATGGAGGCAAGTAAGACAAGAAGGGAAGGAATTAATGGACTGGAAAGGGGAACAAAGAACACCTGCAGCTGAGTACCCAGAACTTTAAGGTCACCTAAAAGTGGTCGAAACACTACTTACTAAGTCCATGAAAGCTAAGAGCCCAGTGTATTTAACACAAGAAGCAAAGGAGTTTTAGATACAACCACTCTACTACCAGGGTACCAAGTGCCACCCTACTTGCTATCAAAGAGAACCAGAGGGACCTTTACATTGAAAAGGTAAGAAGGAGGTACTGAAATTCAAGGAATATCATTCCAAATCTGGATTTCCTGCCACTAAATCACTTCCAAGTGATGTGCTTGATTTTATTGATTTTGCTATAACTGATTCTATGTAAGTGTCCTATACACAAGTTTACCTGATTCTTTATCATCTAAACTTACCCTCTGGTGTGGTGATTCTCAACAGATTTTGCCCCCTAAGGGAGAACTGGCAATGTCTGTAGATACTTTTGGCCGTCACAACTGGAAGGAAGGGTGCACGAGCATCTGGTGGGTAGAGGCCGGATGCTATTCAACATCCCACAATGCACAGGACAGCTCCACCCCAACAAGGAATTATTCAGCCCCAAATGTCAATAGTGCTCAGGTTGAAAAACCCTGCTCCAGAACAAACATGCCGGCAAATGTACACTATTTACATCAGAGAGAGGAGGGCTCAACTTGGGATCCAAGTAACAAACTGTCTTCAAATTTTCTGTACCACAAATATACCAACAGCCTAAATAAAACTACCTTAGTTTTTAGAAAAACATCAATATATTAGTGCACAAAACCTTGTAGACTTAGATATGTAGGAAAGCATATGGATGCCCTCGATGACTTCTTCCTACCTCCTTCCTTCCTTGCCCGGTTTTTCCCATTCTCCTGTTTATTTCTCTCCAGAAGGAGCTCTGTTCTTCACCAATTCCTGCATACTGGAATATTAGGTTCCAAAGATAAATTAACTTTGACAAAATTCATTTATCAGAAGTAAATGTGAAAGTCTGAAGAATTTAGTGAGCTGGCCTTTTGCCCATATACAGAAATGATTAAAGACTAGACTGCGATTAAATTCTGAGCAGAGTGACATAATTAGCAAATTTATGAATGGGTCTTCTTTTCACAGTTCTACTGTCAGGACTAATTACTTGTATTAATTAGAACTGTCAACACATGAATATGCTTGTTGAAGCCGCTTCCTATGGTAAAATACAAGACTGGTAAATATGAAGACACTTGGAAAGATGCAAAGACCTTCATTTATTAGCAACTCTAAATGATGCAGAAGCACTGACTGCACAATGAGCCCTGGGGATTGACTGTAAATGGACTCCTAGTTAATGAATTTGTTCTTCCTTGCTTAGGCATTATTCTTGGTTTAGCGTTTGGACGAAATATTCAATATATCACTACTTTAGAAGGACTGTAGCAAGAATAAGGAAAAAATTCTGCAAGTTACTGGAAAAGTAGAGTAGCAGGGATGGTTAAGTTGAGCAAGAGAGAGTTCCTGTCTCGTCTTTGATTAGTCTGAGATCTAGTGTAATACAAGTTTTGAGAACTGCTTAAGTGAAACGGGAAGGACAGCTGGGGGATTAAAAACTAGAGTTTGAGACCCAGTTTTAACTCTGTGTGACCTTGGGTAAGTGGACAAGTTACTAAGCCTCTCTGCGCCTTGGTTTGCTCATCTGAAAAATGGGGACAGCAATAGAACTTGTAGAGGGCTGTGGTGAGCCTTAAATGTCAACATATATAAAGGGCTTAGAGCGGTGCCCAGCACAAGCTACGTGCTGGCTGTTACTGTTTTCATAATCATCACCTGGGATGGCAGCAGAAACAGAATTTCGAGCTCCAAGAACGAGATCCTTGGAACAGGACGCAGTGCTTTGGAGTCAGATAGAGTCGAGGTATGAATCCAGGCCTATTACATTTAATTTGTAAGCTTCAATTGTGCCCTACCTCATGAGTCCTTGTAAAAAGTAAATTTAAAAAAATGCATGAAAGGCACTTGCTGTGCCTGGTATATAAAAGAGGCTTGCTAAATATTAGTGCTTAAGCATTCATTACCATTATTATCTTTTTGGAGGAATCTCTGAGACATGGAAATAAATGCCAAAAGAAAAATTCTAGTAAGTGACCTAAGATGAGTGGAGAGAGCACATGTGAAAGAGGAGAAAGGGAAATGAAGAGGATCTATCGAGGGCCTTCTCTGGGAAGGGTGCCCTCATGCCCTGTCTCAAGCGGCCGTCACCACAGCCCCAAGAGGAGGGTTTAACTCCCCAGCCACAGAATCCCCATAAATCCCCTAATTACCTTGTTCACTGGTGAAGGAAAGACAGCTGAGATTCCAACTGGGGCCTGAATGGCTGCGAAGCCCACACTGTGTCAAGGCGTGAACGCCAGGCTGCAAAGGGCTTCATCACAGACTGCGGGGGAAACAGACTCTAAGCTCTTCCTACCTTTTTTCCTTCCCCCCACCTTTACATATATTTAAAAACACAGTCATCAAATTCTTGATAGGCAAAGCTTGTTCCGGCTGGCTAGGTAAACTTTACCTGATAACTACCATAAAATAACTACCATAAGACAATTTTAAATTAAAGCCGGTTAATCAATTTTTTAATCCTGTTAAGTACCAACTTGGCAACGGTCCACAAAAGAGAAAATTATTCTCATTTTATGCTTTGTCTTCCAGAGACACACATTTCTGACAGTGTGAAGATGGCCCGACTCATGGAGGCTGCAGGGAGCATTTGGGGAATGAATGAGAAGCATCTCCTAGGGTCCCTCCCAATTCAAAAAGCTAATGTTTCTGCATGCAGCAAGATGTCGATGCTAAACTTGATTTCAATTAAAAACCCATTTCTGTACAAATGTTATAAAACTAGACTAATAAAATGTAAGTTGATGACTCCTACTTTTGTCTTAAAAACTATGTGATACCTTAAAGATCAATCTGGCCAAAACTCCACAGCATCAAAATAATCAGTGCATAAAAAGAAAACCTAGTTGTAGGATGTTCTGGATCCATTCACAAGAAAGCTCGGTTAAATGCAAGACGCTGGTAAATCTGCTAGAGTTCCCAATGTCATGTTAGACAGCAAGCGGCTCCCAGCTGCTCCCTGGAGCCCCTGAAAACTTACTTTAAAGGGTAGAGCTTACCCCCTCTACTCTAGTTGCTCACTAGACAGTTCTCGAAGCAAATGCAGGTACCAAAGGATCTTACTGACAGGTAGTGGGGGATGTGTGGTAGTAATGGTCAGAATGTGCACTGTTACTCTGCGAATAACCCCGTTTATTTTTTTGATTGCATATTATGCTTAAAAATGAACTTGGGGGATATGGTAAAAACAGCTCCGAATGGGGAGTACAATGATGCAGATTCCAGCACTAGCTAAGGGACGGTTAAGCCGTGTGGCTCTAGCCAACACCCTCTCTTTCTAGGGTGCAGTGTGCCAAGGTGGTTAGGACCAGGCCGTTTCTAAGGCTCTTACAGAGTTATAATCTAAGAATAACTATATTAACAAGAAATCTGTAATTCTTATAAGGCCAAACCGCTGCCACAGGGCTCTTAGGCTAAGGTTGTTTGCACAGTTGCTGAAAGTGTCAACTGAGCTCTCCTCAAATGGCAGTTGTGCTGTCAGGTTATAATCATCTGTAATTGGTGCTTTCGTGAATTGCAAACTTCCTAACCACTAGAAGGCCTGAAAAAGAATCTCATTCCTCTGTCATAAGAAACATGTTAAAAGGCAAAATAATTAAAAAAGAAAGCACACTATGAGCAATAATCATTAAAACTTACTGCTTGGGTTTCTCTGGTGGCGCAGCGGTTGAGAGTCTGCCTGCCAATGCAGGGGACACGGGTTCGTGCCCCGGTCCGGGAGGATCCCACGTGCCGCGGAGCGGCTGGGCCCGTGAGCCATGGCTGCTGAGCCTGCGCGTCCAGAGCCTGTGCTCCGCAACGGGAGAGGCCACAAGAGTGAGAGGCCCGCGTACCGCAAAAAAACAAAAAACTCACTGCTTTATGTTTATGTTAACATTCCTCATCAGTAAAGACAAGCCTAGAGAACAGAACAGACAAAAAACAAACATGCTATTTTACGATTTCTTAATAGCATGATTTCCAATAAGAATTCGTACGTGAAATATGTCGGTCTTAATGGTTTCTTTTCTTGTCATCGAAACATATTAGGAAACCATCCACAGCTTTTCCTTCCTTCTTTCCATCCATCCATCCCGTTCCTAAATACTCCCAACCATCAGTCACACTTCTCTTTGATTAGCAACCGTTTCACCCAGATAATAGCTATTTTTGTTGATGCCTTCCTAGTTCCCTCCCTCCACCTTTCCTCACTCTCTCTTCCACTTGACTAAGTTTCCTGAAGGCAGAGAATTTGGTTTTTGTTTATCTTCATTTGGGGGGAAGAGAGCTGGCTACCTTGCTCATACGTGGCACAATATGGGTTTTCCAAATATTCTAAAAATTACATAGAAAGAATTTAGAAATCTAGGTAACTACTAAAATGGATGGTACTATCTGTACCTTCAATTAAAAAAAAAGTACCCATTGTCTTCTGCTAGAGCTTCTTAAGAGCGGCGCAGAGAGAAATGGGAACCTCTCTCCGTGGCCCTCAAGGAACTCCCCACCTTAAGACCTAAAGGCCTGCGAGAATCACCAGGGGACCTTATGAAGCAGTCCCAGTACCTGGGCCCACGCTGCCGTCTTTGTGCACCTGCCCTCACCCCGCCCCACCAGCTGTATATTCTGATTTATTGGGGGCCAAGGCACTGACAATTTTTTTTTTTTTTTTTGCCAGTTTGTTTGTTTTATTGACACCTGGATGCTCGGGCCTTGACCGCGTACTTCCGGAGCGGGTACAGCCGCTCATTCCACTGCTGCTTCTTGGTCTTCAGGTTCTCTTCGTGTTTGTTGAGCCGGCGGCACGTGGCACGCGTTTTCTTGGGCCACAGATGCAGGGGCTTGTACTTCTTGCCCTTACAGAATTTCCTGAGGTTCTCTTTCTGAGTCTGGTTAATGATGGTGAGTACACGGGCGATGGATTTGCAAACAACTTGGATCTTGGAGAGTTTGGAAGCCGCGCCGCCCGGTACTTTAGCCACGCGTAGCTGGGACAGCTCCACTTTCAGGTCCTCCAGCTGTTTCAGCAGCTCCTTCTTCTTGCCGCAAAGGTCTCGAGCCTTAATCTTGGCCATGACTGTAGAGTCAGCCTCTGCCGCCTTCTCGGAGGGAAAAAGCTGCACTGATAATTTTTTTTTTTTTTTTTTTTTTTGCGGTACGCGGGCCTCTCACTGTTGTGGCCTCTCCCGTTGCGGAGCACAGGCTCCGGACGCGCAGGCTCAGCGGCCATGGCTCACGGGCCCAGCCGCTCCGCGTAATGTGAGATCCTCCCGGACCGGGGCACGAACCCGCATCCCCTGCATCAGCAGGCAGACTCTCAACCACTGCGCCACCAGGGAAGCCCCGGCACTGATCATTTTTAAAAGCTCCCCAGGTGACTGTAACAGGAAGCCAGGACTGAGAACTACCAAAATCTCTGAAAGCCCTCCTCTAGTTACTTAACAAATGCTAGTTAACTATATGCTTGGCCTTTCACTGTCTTACAGGCCTTGCATGCACCCACCATTCATTTACTGACACACATTGCACATCAATGGTTATTTTTTTTTCAGAAATCAAGTGAGGTCACTGCTCGAATAAATTTAATTCTCCTTGATGTCAGTGAGCTGTAGCTTTCATAAATGTCCATTCTCCTTCATTTAATATGGTCTTTTCTAACTTTCCATTGAATTGGAGTATTCTCTCTATAGTTAGCTGAGTGTTACCTGGGGGCTGGAAAACAGCTGGGGATTTCATGTTCCCTAGACTTTCACAGGTCTCCACTGAAGGCCCTGAAAACACTCAACCATGAAATCTGCAGTAGAAATTCCCATAGGAAGTTTAAAGCTGACCAAGAAGTCATTAATAACCTCTACTTGAAAAACTTAATTTGAAACTTTCTGATGAATATTTTACAGAAAACTCTAACTCACTAAAATTTCTAATTTCATTCCAATAGGAATGAGTATGAATACAAAAAAAAGTTCACTAAGCTAGTAAAATACTAGTAGCATTTAGATTATTAATTATTAATTAAATTATTATGATGATGACCATACCAATACAATATGAAAGGCAAAATGACGTCATGGGTAATAAGTATATAGACTCTGGAACCAAGACTTCTTGTGCTCAAATCTCAGCTCTGTCACTTATTAGCTATGGGACCACAGTTTGCCTTCCTTTGGTTTAGTCTCTTCTCTGAAATGGGTAAACAGTAACACTGCATTGGTGGTTGTTGGATTGAGTGAACACACACGCACATACACACTCATGTGCATACACATGCACACACACTAAACATGCATACATGTCACTTATAATGGTGCCTGGTGTGCTGGAACTCACTCAAATTCCATCTCTCTCCCTGCAACCCAATCCCCACACACAGCAGAGTGAGCTTAAAAGCCAGATTTCATCTTATTGCCCTCCCTACTTAAAAGTCTCAATGGTTTCCCCTGTTTCCAGGGTCAAGTACAAAACCCTTAAACACAACATACCGGGCCTTTCACAACCTGATTCCCACCCATCTTGCCACTCTGGTCCGACAATGAAAAATATATTGCAGCCACAACTATCGCAGCACCTACAATGGGCCACCCTCTCATCTCAGGGCCTTTGCCCATTTTCTCTGCTTCCCTTGCCCCTTTGTTCACACCCTTCACTAACTTCTCATCACATTCAGGGAAAGACCAAAATCCTTAGATGGCGCATGGTCTGGAGCCCACTAATTCAAATTTAGGATCAATACCTCGATTGCCCCAAACTTAGATATGATACATTCATTCATATGAGAAAGGATGCTCACTCCCTAAATATTTGCCTGCCAATCTTTAAGATAATTAAAGTGATAGCAGATGTTATGATGTCATTACAGTCACTCAAGAGGAAAACCTGTGAATTCTGAGTTTAGAATAAAGAGTATCCTGTCTGTATACCTCTCTCTTCTGTTTGCTGTAGGTGCAATATTTAATTTATTTCCATGTTAAATAGTTGTTTGTCTATTCATGTAACTAAAACAGCAGAGAAAGACACCCTTTTTAGAAAACACAAGTCTGGGTGTTTTTAAGGACAGTGCTCATTTGATCTCATTATTCTGCCAGTTAATTGACAGGAAAGAACATCCTAATTGCTCATTAACTCTGAAGATGTCCCCTTGTCTGGTGTCAAGGTCTAAGAGATACAGGGTACACAGCAGCTGTACAACTGCTGCTGCTTTAGGGGGACAAAGCATTAGGTTTGCACAGTTAAAAAACAGCAGATGTTCTGATATGCGTTTCAAACAATCCCATCTATTACATGGTAGAATTTGGTGGTGAGTTATTTCCCCCTCAGGCTAATAAGATGAACCACATCGCTGATTAAATATTATCTTCTGGGGCCACAAGATTGTTTTCACGGCTACCGCTTATGGAAATCATTCTTGGTTGGACTGGAAACTGCCCAAATGCCAACTGGTTTGAAAGGCTCTCCGAGAAAGGCATTCCTTGGTGCTCTTTCCCTCTACCCACCCTTGTCCCTACGTGCAAGACCATCTGGTCCTGTGATAATAAGCAAAAGCATAAGAGACACAAGCCATCAACACAGGCCTGCACAGTGACTGTTCAGATCCCTTCCTCAAAGCATACAAAGAAAGCCAGAAGTCCAGGAAACAGCTATGCCCACTTAGCAAGAAGCACTGTCTCCATGCTTCCCTGATATATAAAACATTAAGACGATAATAATTAGCAAATAATTAGGGCTGCCAAGGGGTAAGGAAACACTGTCACAACCTGACAAGTGTCATAGTGTCAAAAGCTCTGCTCAAAACGGGCCTCGCTGGCCCTGAGTTATCTAAGCCAGGGGCTCATTTCCCTCCTCACCCCCACGTGTCTCGCCAAAAAGCATCCTCTACACAATGGTAAACTACTTGGGGCTTAAAGTTTATCTTTGTCACAGCACAGTGTGCCAAAAGAAGGGCCCTTCTAACCCCCAGAGACGCAGCTTATTTAAAGTTATAATGAAGACAGCAGGTGTTCCATACAGATGTCTCTCCTTTTAGAAGACACCTATTTGAAACACTTTATTCTCCCTTAACCTCGGTGGGCTCAGCTGCATTTTATTTCAGCATCACCCGAGCCAAAAGCAAACTGTTTCCCTTTAGTCTCACTGAGCTGAAAATTAAAAACGACTGGGTTTTGGGTTGTTTTGGTTGATTTGCAGGGAATCCTGGACGCGATGATTCCAGAGTCGACACCCATTGCTTTCTGGTGACAATGAAAGCAATGCCAGACTCCCCAGAAAGTATGCCAGACTCCCCCGCTTTCCTTGGCGACCCAAACCGCTGAGTGCCAATCACCTCACACCTTCCAGTGAGAAGGAGCAGAACAGATCTGAAAGGACTGCACTCGATAAAATGTATGCTGCTTTAACTTTTGTAAACGGTAAAGTCAAATGGAAATGCCTAGTGCCATGGCACTAAAGCAGCCTCAAACTAAGACAGGATCCAGTGTGTTCTGGAACCCTTAAGAAAGAAATCATTGTAGCAGCCAGGGGAGAGCTAGCTACCAGTAACAGGAACCACTGGTCTTCTTGCCCAAAGTGTATGGATACCTTTAGCCTGGAAGGTTGGAGTAGAGATGAGAAGGGAAAGAAGGCAACGAGCAAACAGGAAAAGTGGAGACAGGACGTCGAGGTCCTAGTCTGGATGCTCAGCTCTGCGCAATCTCCCTCAACACACTGACAGACCATAAGTAGCCCACAGAAGCTGGAGGTGAAGCTGTGAGGTGTAGTTTTCTCTGCATTTCTCTACAAAAAATGACCTGATGCCTTGATGGGATGGCACTGTGGAGAATATCAAAGAAGAGGAAGGTCAATGTTAAATATTTTTAGCAATGCATAGGTTTTCATATTTTTTCTTAATAAAGGTTCTCCATGATTTTGCAGACATTTTAGAAAATGGAGTCAAGCCAAAACAAGAAAGTAAGTCACCATAATCTTATTTCTGAGAAATAAGGATGAGTGGCATTTTGCTAAATATTATTCCAATCTTTTTTATAGTACATTTACTAGGTCTTACAAAAATAAATGAGTTTCTACTAAGACTACTGCTATATCCTGCTCATTTGACTCACTGTGAACCTGCTTCTATTTTTAGTGGCTAAGTATTATTCTAGATCATGATTTATTTCACCTATTTCCTATTGGGGCATGATTAGGCCATTTGCGAGTTTTCCAAAGCAGATGATTACAATGTAATTTTAATCAGCTTAATATTTATAGTAATCTCAATAACACTGTGCAATTTTGGTCCTGTCTTGCAACAAAAGTAGATTTAAAAAACACAGATGTGACACAGGAAGATTGCTGGTCCCTAATTGAGATGCTGGAAGATATATAAATATATATTATGCATGACTCTCACATCTGGCTCTCCATAACGAAGTTCAACAGAATTATAAATAGTTTTGAATCCTTGGAGAACTGCCATGTGATGAAACTAGACCACTTTGAAAGCTATTTGCGATTCTATAATAAATGGAAACCAACATATGACTTGATTTTTCTCACTAGCACAACAACACAACAAAACGGATGAACACGTGCACCTCTGAGTGAGATTCAAGAGGCTGAGTAAACGACAGTGAAAATTCTCACGTGTAGTATTGATAGGTGGCTCCACATAAAATTCTGTCTTAAAGCGCACTTAGTGCAAGCCCATTTATTCTTTTTTGTTATGAATCTTTTCTTTTCTAAAAAGAAAGCCACTGAAGAAAAATTGAGTCCTATTTAAATGAACAACGCAAATATCCCTAATTCAAATGTCACTACTTGTCCAGAGTAAAAACAGTATTTTCAAACTCATATGCTATGATTTTTGGTAGAAACAAATCACTGCCCAGCAGATTATTTATGATTGTCTATAGGAAGCATTTTTTTGGTGTGTGTTCTATTAGGTACCTGAGATGCCAGTTTCTTGTGTAAGAAGGGCATTCTTTCCCTAAACAAACTATTTATTTCACAATTTTTAATTAATGTCCGGAATTTTTGCTTAAAAAAAAAGACAACCCAACCAAACAAAAGAACTTAGCCAATCATGTGAGGACAACAGTAAGAGAAATGTCATTGGCATTCTACAAGTAATACTGTCTTTTTAAACGTAGCTAAGACTGTTCTATAGTGACCACACCTACCAAAGAGTTTTCAGTGTTCTGATTTCAGGATGATCGTAATGGCCAATCCACCTCCCAAAACACAAACATAACTCCAGCTCGGCCATGCGGGCTGACTATGTGGAAGGCTACAGACAGGATCATGCTGGTCTCTTCCATAACTGACCATTCACGACAGCCTAGCAGCGCTTTTTCTGAAGAGGCCCCGACTAGGAATAGAGAAGTCTGGCCTTCCTGCCTGGTGTTTACCACTCAGAACGTGACCCCGGGCCAGCCATTTCATTTCTCTGTGCTTCTATTTCCCAATCTAAAACAATGGCTATAATTACAAATGCTTATTTCGTAGGGTTCTGTGTGGGGATGTGAACCTTCCTAGCACAGTAACCACGAGGGAAGAGGTACTGCTTGTTGACCTGGAAAGAATTCACCAGAACATTTAGTTACAGTGGTTTCTTCTGGGTGCCTGTATTATGGGTAGCTGCAAGGATACACCTCAAATGTGATGTGGTTTTTCTCCGGGTGGTGGGGTTATGGATCACTTTTTGTCTTCTTTTTGGTGATGTGTATTGATTATTTTCCACCGTGAATATGTTCTGCTTTTATAACCAGCAGGACAAATGCTTGTCCAAATTCTGAAAGACCATAATAACCGAGTTCAGGGACCCATCATCACCTGTCTCAGGCCCTCAGCACTGTCCACCCTGGGACATCTGGAATTCAGGGAGGACTTCCTGAAAAGGAGCTGAGTGCTGCTTATTCCCATGGCAAAACAAAAGCAGAATCACACGGCAACCACAGCACGCATCTAACAGGTGTTAGCACACACACATCAGAGCAGTCTCACACACGTCATCACCTGCCTCCCTCCCTTCTGAAGACCAGAGGACTCTGTCCCTGCGGTAGGAGAAAGCTGAGAGTCCATTTGCAGCCAGCCTGGAAGGCGGATGTGGGAGCTAATTCAGGGGTTCAACTCTGCTCTAGGGTGGACACACAGGAGCCCAAGGAAACGTGGATCCAATCTAGCACCTTCCAGGAAGGTCCTGACCCCCAGGCTCTTCATGCCTGGGGAACCCAACCTACATCACAACAGCATCCCCAGGGCAGGACACCATCCACAGTAATTGGGCCATAGATATAAATGATGGGATATTAAGTCTCTTGACTTCTCCGAGTCTGTTTCCTCATTGAGTAAGATCAGGTCTCAGATATGCTGACCTCTAAGGTCACTCTCAGTGCCAGTTATGTTTGAAAATGGTTCAGCCTTGTCTCATTCTCCATTATCTACTTTAAAAAGTAATTTAAGTAAATTAAGCAAAGGATCCAAACAATAGGTCCCTCCCCAAGACTGCAGTTATGTGCTTAAAATTATATGCTAAAGTTAGGTGGTATACGTTATCTGTACTTACAATGCTTAGAAAGGAATTAGAAAGGTTCAAATAAAAAAGAATAAAATTTTATTCACTGAAAATATCAACTACTGAGTCTATGAAATAACGTCTCAAAGTCTGGGCCTTCAGCTCAAAAATAAAAAAATAGATACTGTTTTGTTTGGTTTCATATTTTAGTACAGACACAGAGAATTAGAAACCTCTTCACACCCTCAATTGTTTGATTAATAAGAATGTAAAATCCACTATAATTTTAACGCACTATTTGACATCTCTCTTCCTAATTAAAACATTTTATGAAATGGAGTTTCTTAATCACACCTATATTAATAGTTTTCTCCAATTAAGTTTGATCTTATGAAACACTGAATATACACCTCAATAACTTCGAGATTAAAAATTGTATAGATGACCTGAGTATCCAAATCATCATATTAGTAAACTTGATATTCTCTAAAATTCTTACATAACTTAGGGAATCATAGTTGCTGAAGCAGAGAATTTCATAGATGGGTAAGTAAAGTGATCAGCTCATTTCAAAAGTTACTGTATCTCTTTCCTAAATCTAATATATTGGGTAGCTGAAGTGAAGTCAGTCAGTCACTAAAACGTCCTGTCGTTCAGCAGAAAGAACAATGTTTTTGGTTTGATAGCAAAGAACAAGATTTACTCATTTCCGTACCCTGCAGTGCTTAACAGTACCATACACAAACAAGAGGCTCCAACTGGGATTTCCTGAGGAACAGAACGAATAATGATCCAGGACAACATGATGAGTGTGCAAGGTAATATTTCCGAAACCATCAAGACTTGGTAGTCCACAAAACAGGGTCCACGTGTGGGGGAAGATGAAGGGGACATGGGTAGGTGGAATTAATTCATTAGGGGTTTGTGTATACTTTTATTGCTAAATCTACTCATTAGCATCTGAATGATCCCTTTCAATAAATGGTGATTGTGGGGTTAGGTAGCCGGAGGAAAAATTATAAATTCACATAGAGCTATTAATGTTAATTTCTCAAATATGTTTCAATTTCATGTATCATTATCTTTATTATTTTAGCAGCGGCTGAGCTACAGTTAATCTTTTTAGGTATAAAACCTCCACAGAAGCCTGCTCCTTCCCAATAGGGACCTAAACAGAACTCTGGTCCACTTATTTTATTATTTCTTTTCCTGACTGGGATATATTCACATGTTCTTTTGCAGGTTTGAAACATCATGTATTTACATTTCTTTATATGCACAATTTCACATCTAGATACAGTCTCAAATATCAAACTTTACTCACTGAAATGAATATCTCCAACGTAGAGAGAAGGGAGTAAGAACCTATAATCCAAAGGAAGTGTTCTGCAATGAAACTGCTTTTAGGGAATCTGGCAGATGGCGCTTTTTCATTACAGAGAACGTTTTCCTGGGGGAAAACACACCAAATTACTTTAAAAAAAGAAGTGGTCACATGGAATGAGCTGTACCTCTTCTGTCCTGGCCTGCAACACGCCTGCAAAGCCAAGCAGGCCGGCCGTGATCATTTGCATATGTTAAAAATCGCCAACTGCATTATGCCTGCACTGGGCCAGTGAAGGCTCAAATAATCATGCAACTGACGCAGATACCACCATCAAATGCATGTATTTATCAATTTAGATCTGCCTTAGACAGCTGTGTGAATTTATCTTCCAGAAAAGATCTTTCATCCGTCAGCCCTGAAACCTAGATGACAAACACTCGCCAATATTCCTGACATTTCTCAATACCCGCATCTCTTTCTAGCTACGCCCGTCCTGCTCAGTCCATTACCACAGAATGGAAGAGGAAGAAGCTTTGAAGAGGACCCAGTTCAACTCTCTTATTATAAAAAATAATAATAAAACAAAGGTCTGATCAGATCCAGTGACTCACACCTCAAGTAAGGTTAGTTCACTGATATTCCAGGACTGAAGCTCAGACAACTGAATTCACATCCTTTTCTCTTTGTACCACACGATGAAAGATTAAAAGAACATGTACATAATTTATTCCATTTTTTTCAAAATTTTTCATACAACAATAAACAAGACATGTCATTTTTATTTACCTTGGTGTAGCCTCAATAAAAAGCAAAATATACAACACAGTTAAAATAAATTCTCTTTCTGCTTTTTATTTAAAATGTATCTGAATTGGCCCCTATGAACATATATGCCTATAAACAGGATTCAAAGATATTGTCAAGTGATCTTTTAATAATAAAAGCCCTAGATATTAATTCGGAACCCAGATACTCTTTTCCAATATGGCTCTCCTGGTAATTTTACATGTAAAGACTTAGAGACAAAGCAGCAACCAGTTTCATTCTGAAGCCAAGACCTTTGTCGTATGTCCCACCACAGCTTCACATATGGCTAGCCAGCAACCCCAACTGTACAATGTGGGGAGTGGGTGACAACTCTGCTTGATTTTCACAAGAGAGCCAAAGTGTGATTGTGGCCATTTGCCTTTCAGAAGAGTCTAAGAAAAGAAGCACACGTTACTCCACATGTCACGAGGATTTCCAGTTTTAACCAGTACACATGCTCCAGACTGGCAGATAGAAGTTGAAAAGGACACAGCTTTGTACCCAGCCACCCGCTGAACTTGGTGGCAGGCTATTTAAAAAAAAAAAAAAAAAAAAAAAGGGCACAAATTATACATGGAAGGACGCGGGGGAGAGGGGAGAGGAAAATGCAATGAGCTAATGTTCCTAGCTGGCATCTGCCTTTTGACTCAAAGAAAGGAGATGGCTCTCGTCCAAAATTTTTCTATTATTGTGGTATCAGCTGCCTCTTGGATTCGTTTATAAGAACTGAGACTGCCAACAGAACAAGACAAGATTTCTGTTAATGGTAGTAAATGTGCAAGCTTCTTGAAATAATAGGAATTTCGATATTTCTTCTACAAAGGCTACTTTGGTATTATTATTCCTGGCATGAGCTTTAGGACTTATAATTATGGCCAGGTACTATTAAGAAATATGACAACAGCAAATTCTGAGGTTAAAAAAGTTGTTACCTTGATTCTTTTTTTTTTTTTTTTTTTGTGGTACGCGGGCCTCTCACTGTTGTGGCCTTTCCCGTTGCGGAGCCCAGGCTCCAGACGCGCAGGCTCAGCGGCCATGGTCCACGGGCGCAGCCGCTCCGCGGCATGTGGGATCTTCCCAGACCGGGGCACGAACCCGTGTCCCCTGCATCGGCAGGCGGACTCTCAACCACTGCGCCACCAGGGAAGCCCCGTTACCTTGATTCTTTAATTTACTCTTCCAATATATTGAACTAAAGAAACTAATTGGTGCTGGATGTCTCTTTCTGGACTGGCATTCTACCAAATGAATTTCTATTAGTTGGCTCTTTCAAATCTCAGTATTATTGATGACTATTACACTAACTTCTTACTCTGAAAACTGGGAATCAAAGAGAAAGAATTAAGCATTTACCTAGCCTTTTAAAAAAAGGACTATAGATTCTACCTACTTCATGAGGGAATGATCACACTTTTTAAAAAAAGCCAATAAATAAATTACTAGACAGATTATGTCTAGTAAATGACAGATTCAAACTAAGGATGTAGAAAACAGGAAAAAGCATCACTACTATCCTTACAATAAACATGAATGCTGGACAATCTGCAAATCAATACCTTTTCCTGAACCCAACAGAAAGCTGAGGCAGTAGGGCAGCCAACTAGACAGAAGTCTAAAACAGCATAGAACACTTGCTTACCTAGGACAGACTCTGCTGGACACTAACAAAAAGAATTCAGCCAAAACTGTTAAACTGCTAAAGGCTGAGTGTGAGCTGGCAAGATTCTATTCATAGAATATATAACACGGAACATACTGGGAGATGCAGTACAAAGGAATTCACACCCACTTTCAGGCTCTTCTCAGGACCTCATGTGGCCCTTGCAAAAGACATATATGAGCCCAGAGAAAGTGTCCTTTGTCCTCTGTCATTCCTGGCACAGTCCTGAGGGAAAGAACAGCAGCCACTGCAGGAAAGGTCTGCATGAAAGGCTGCCTAGATCCTTCTTCCCTATAGTCCCTAAGGAACAAAAGACTTAAATGCCTGGGAGAAAGGCGAAAGCCAAGTTTCCCTTAAGGAAATGGTGAAAACCTCCTGCAGCTTAGAGAAGGGAAGAGGAGAAAAAGAAAAAAACCCTCTAAACTGTGGAGAGGGGCAGGGATACTGAGAAGGCCACACCTCCAAACCGAGGGACACAGTGACTGCGTGGACTAAGGCTTAATCAGGGCACCCCCCGGCACTGGTCTCCACCACCAAACTAAAAAACACAGGCTAACAAGTAATAGCAGTGTGCCACCGGGGGAGGGGCGACAGAGGGGATGGAGTACCTATCCCAGCTGCAGCACAAAGACTTACAACTGAAGTTCAAGTAGACATTGAGAGGCACTCTGGCAAATCAGCCCCCACCCTAAAAACAAGGTAACATTAGAGGAATTCGAAGTCTTTGATGCACTGAGGGGACCATACAGTACCTACTCAGTATTACTCACAGTAATTCTATATAATTCACAATACTCACAGTGCTCAGTAGACAAGATAATCCATAGGGATTAGGAGATCTGGGCAACACTATCAACTCAATTAATCTAACTAACATTTGTAAAACACTCCACCCAACTAGAGCAGAACACACATTCTTTTCAGGTGCACATGGCATTTTCACCAGGATGGGCCATAAAATATCACAACCAGGTGAGATTTATCCTGAGAATACAAACCTGCTTCAAGTTTGAAAATCAAAATAATTTAGTATGTCAACAGACTAAAGAAGAAAAAGTATATAATAATCTCTACAAATATAGAATAAAAAATACTATTTTTAATAGCATACCTCTCCCTGCAGAAAGAAAGAAAGAAAGAAAGAAAGAAAGAAAGAAAGAAAGAAAGA